ATGGGAGCTTCTAGGAGGGTCCTAAGTGTCTATTACCTTGGCTGCTTTCTCTCTTGTGCCTGGCATTACCCCACAAGGAAAGAGCAATGAGCAGAGCTTGCAGCCTGAACAGGCAAGAGAAAGCAACAGGTTGCTGCAGCTGCAATATTCCCACCAGTCGTAGGGAGAAGGAAGTTCAAGGGGTTCTGGTGCAATATTGCCCCATAAGGACCTGGAAAACATGAAGTCCACCGCAATTTTTGTAATAACTTGTTTACTGTGAATTACAGAAGTCCTGTTTTGGCATTCGTATTGTCTGGTAGTTCTCATCCCTAGGCCTGAAACCACCTTTGAACCCACTGCCTCATGTCTGTACTGAAGCCCTTAAAGTGATGCTCAGAGAGAGCAATGGTCGGGCTCTGCACCTGTGAGGTACCCTCCACTCTGTGCATGCCTGGGACAGTGCTGCAGACAGGTCTGCTTACATCATACTGAAAGGAAAAGTAACAAACTATAGGAAGTTTTCAGCCAGGAGTAGCAGAGCTGGAGTGATTAAATTATAAGTAGGAGATGATGTGAGGAAAAAATGTATTTAGTGGTGCTGAAGTGAGAACTGGCAGGCAGGGATATTCAAGTGCATCAACCTCAGCAAGGGACAGCAGTTAACAGGAGTGACTTCAGCTGAGAAAAAAAAGAGCAACACAGACACAGAAGTATTTGGCCTGAACTTGAAGACAGCTTAAGGGCAAGGCCCAGCCAGGAGTTTCATCTCCCAAGGGAAGTGGGGAACTTGCCTACTACACATTAGATCCCACCTTGGACAAGAGACTGGAGGCTCCTAAGTCTCTCTCACACCCTATAGTCCTCTTCCTTTGAAGTGAATCAGAACTCAGGGTCATTCCCCATTGTCCAGCACTGGTCAGTGCCACCTCCTCATCCTGCAGAGAACACCCAGGACTCATTGCTGTTCTCTCTCCGACTTAAAATAACTCTTTGTGGGACATCAGTGCTGTCTTCTGAGAGCCACTCTCTGTCCCTCTTCTAATGGTTACTGCTTCCTAGTTCATCTTCTGGGTCGTGTTCGGCACTGACCAGCCTAATGCACCAGGACACACAGGAGAGCCAGGTCTGCCTGCCCCCTGCCTGGGGTGCCACAGCCTTGAGAGCAGGTCCCATCTCTAGTTCACCTCTGCTCATCTCGGGGCTCTTTTCCCTTCTGGCTTCTGTCCAACTGGGCTCCCTTTCTCTTCCCATCCTGTCAGATGGGGGGAAAGTTTGAACTTGGTGTTGGCACTGTGCTCTTGCTCCACGAGGCCTCTGTGAGGCTCCCAGGTGTGCAGGAGGAAATTGAATGTGAAACAGCAAGTGAAGTACCATAGCACAGAGCAAGGACTAGGAGTCCTGGCTATATCCTGTGGTCCTGGCCATAGGTGGGAGAGTGGGGGAGAGCTGGGAACTGAAGGAGACTCAAAGTCAAGATCAAAGCATTTCCCTCTGAAGCCCTAACACTCTCCTTCCCTCCCACTTGCACATAAAAGCACTCTGCCCTCAGTGGGCTCTCCTCTGGGGAGGGTGGGTGGAGGAGGGGTCCCTTCCCCCCCCACCTTTTTTTTTTCCTGTGTTACTAATAATTCTTCTTATAGGTGAAATGCTGGAAATCCTTGACCTCTCCTCCCCCATGCCTGCTTCTTACCCAGATCCAAAGGGCCCAAAGCCGTTTCAATGACTATGAGTTCACGGCAGACCTGGCCTGCTTTGGGGGTGTTACCAGCCAATGCCAGCATGGGGGAGATGCACCAAGCAAAGCCTTTGAAGTGTACAGTAGAAAGACACTGTTAGAGGCAAAGCACAAGGAAGGAGGATTGAAAAGAAAGCAGAGCAGTTTGGCCCACAGGAGGGGGAAAGGCTAATTAAGACACAGAGTGTGGAGAAGGAAAAGGCAGAATCATTAAGATATCACAGCAGGAGCCCGTGGTGCGGCTCCATGGAGGTTTAAGCCGTGCTGAGCCTGGCCCATGCTGTTTGCTCCCCCTCGGTTTCCCATTCCCACCCTCTGCTTTGGGGTGGCACAGGAGTGTGAGGGACTCAGTCAGTTCAGCTTGTTGATCCAGCTGAAAATTAGCTGGTTTAGTTCACACCCTAATACAGACAGAGCTGAAACTCAGGATGGGATTTTCATTACCCCTGCCTTACTAATGATCTGACAGAGGGCTAAAGCTTGTAGGTGACCTCACACTGGAGAAGCTGCAAGCTCTGGTGAGGACAGGTACCCATGAGGAGACTAGAAATTGGAAACATGGGCAGGAAATGGTGGATTCAGTTTTGGAAAGCCCAGGAAGGGGATAATCTTCTGGCAGTGCTTCATTACGCAACATCACACAAAGCCAGCAGCACTAAGGAAGACCTGGGTAAGAGGGAAAGCAAACTACAGATTCAAGGCTGCAGTATTTATGTTTCTTTCTGTGATGACAGAAGCTGCTGCTTGCTTCAGAGGACACTCAGGACCACTTACCACACAAAGGCAGTGAAAGATGGGTTTGTCAGGCTTCTCCCTGCATCCCAGCTTCGGGCCAATAGGCAGAGAGGGACCACAGGGAAATGGAAACATAGAGGGGCAGTGGGGAACAATGTGAGTCAGGGACTGGGAGGCCAGGGATGCGAGAGGATCTGGCTTCCTTCACTGGTCCAGGGCAGGGCAAAAATGCATGGAACAGGCAGGGGAGGTTGGGGGATGGGACGTTTCACACCTAGCAAGCAGGAGCAGATGGGGCTGTGGTTAAACACCGCAAGGAATTAACTTGCACTGCCTCAAGGAGCCCAGGACCTAGCAAGCCAGGCCCAGCTCTCCCTTCCCTGGATTCATGGCATACGCTTTGGTGACAGGTTAGCAGTGCAGAGGGGGTTTCTCTTGGGTCTGTAGCTAGTCAGGGAGCTGAGATATGGCCCTTCAGTGCAAACAGACCCATAAAACTCTGCTCAAGTAGTGATTGCCAGTCCTTTCCCAAGCCCTGCCCCCAGGCACACACTGAAATGGCCATGGTGTTTGCTGGGGGAGAAACGTGAGAAGTAGAGCTGGAGTGCTGTAAAAGATGTAAATGTTTCTGTGCTGACAGCAGCTGAGTGTCTAGGGCACAGCCTCAGAGGGGGGATGGAGAGGCACTGAGAAAGCACTTCTCTTTTGTTCTTGATCTTGGCTGCCTCTAGGAGGGTTCCCAGGAAAAATCGTGAAGCTGATACGCCAAAGGGAGCTCACAGCGTGTGCTTTATCAGGTGGAGGTCGTGGGGTGCCAGTGACAGAACAAAGGGCAGGGAGAAGGAAGTAGGAGGGCGGGCTTGGGACAGACAGTTGTGGCCATCTCATCTCTGTGTTAGATCCTCTGACTCCCCTGGTGCTGGAAAGCCATTTCATCAGTCGGGAAGGGAAGGGAAGGGAAGGGAAGGGAAGGGAAGGGAAGGGATACCCCCTCATCATAAAGTGGACAGCAGAGCAAAGGAGTCAGTTCAATCCTGGTAACAGTGACCCACACAACTGCCACAGCTGCAGTACTCCCCATGAGAGGATGTGACTGCCTAGGAGCAAACGTCACCCAGGTCTGATGCAACAGCTGAGAAAAAAAAAACCCCATGATTCTTTTAACATAAAAGTTAGTCATCACTGAGGTCAGGTTTTCACAGGGCTGATCTCTGCCCTCTGGAGCTTAACCTTTAGGTATGACTGATAGCATTGTGAATTCCAAAAGAGATGAGAGAAGGGAGATGAGGGCAAGGAGAAAGGGGCACTGCTTAGAGACAAGGCCATTTGCTGAGCAAACACACTGATGTGTCTTCTTTCATCCCTGAGAGCATATACATTGATTTTGTGAAGTGTGAAGTATGAATTATCTGGACCACTGAGCAGGTAGCAGCAGAGCAAAGATGAAGGAGATGAGGATGAAGGAAAGAAGGAGGGCTGGGAGGCAGGGAACTGGCAGAAGAACAAAGCTACTAGGCATATAGGAAGAGGGACCCACAGGATACGTGCAGAAGCCCAAAGGCTCTGCAGAAGAAATGGCATCAATGAGGTTAGGTGAGAGACACACCAGTAAGGAAGGCATGGCAGCTCACAGGATCTCTCATTTCTAATCACCAGGCTTGTCCAGAAATGTACTTGTTCTGAAATGTTTAATAACTCAGAATTTCGGGTTATGAAACCAGATTCCAACCCAAACCTGAAAAAAAAAAAAAAATTACTTGTTTTTTGTATTAAAACTGGGGTCACTGAGAAGCCAGAGAGGGTCCCTTCACTGACAGCTCATTGCTGCTTTCTTGAAGTCCGTCCCTCTGCCGGGGGTTTCGCTGCTTCGTTCCGTTCCTGCGGCAGCGTGGGGAGCACGCACTGCCACTCATCATCACTGGCTGGGGATCGTGCCTAATCCCAATGTCCCCTGCAGTGGCCACTGCGAGTTGTGAGTCCTTTGGAAGCAACCTGAAACTTCACTGCCCACCCCAAAATAAAACGAATGTGCAGAATTAGTACGGTACTTCTTTCTTGTCTCCCCTGCAACAGGCGGGCAATACCTGCTGCCCACGGCGACTGTCCCTCAGCCTCTGGGATCCCCAGAGGGATCAGTTCGTGCCTGTCCGGCTCCTTCCTCAAGAGAGGCGTTAGTGCTCGGGATCTCTGGCCCTGCCGCCTGTGGCTCGGCCCTGGACCCTGCCCGGCACCACGGTCCGTCTCTGTGAGGAGGCGAGGGACGCGAGCGCACCCACCGCGCCGGGATCGCCAGCCCGGCTCCGCTGTGAGGGAGGCGCGGGCGGGGCGGGCCGCGCGCGCAGCCGCACGGCGCCGCCAGGGGGCGTCGTGCCCGCCGCGGGGGAGGCGGCGCTGGCGGCCCGAGCTCTGTGGTGACGCCGCACGCGGAAGCGGCGGCAGCGGCGGTCGCCCCCGGGCGGGGCTGATGCCGGGCGAGGAGAGGTGATGAATATTCATGTGAAGCGCCCGCGGGGGCGGGACCGGCCGGGCCGGGCCGCTCGGGTCCGGAGGGCGCCGATGGCGGGGGGCAGCCGCAGCGCGGGGGGCGCCGGGGCCGGCGGGCGGTGAGGACGGACCGGGCCGGGCCGGGGCGTGGCGGAGGCGAGGTGGGGTGAGACCCCCGAGCTCACTGCCACCCCCCGCGTGTCCCTCCGTTGCAGGGCTGGTTCCCGGCTGGACGGGCTGTTCCTGCGGCGGTTCCTACGGCTCCTGGCCGTGCTCTTTCCTGGGTGGCCCTCCCCGAGCGCCCTCATGTTCTTGACGCTGCTCGGTGTCGCCTTGCTGGGTGAGCCTGGGTGGTGGGGATGGGGGGCTGCACCCCACGTCTGCTCCTTGTGGTCCCGACTTTGCCTTGTCACCGCAGTCCATCAATTCCTTCCCCTGCTTGCCTTTCTCCTCCAGAGCAGCTGGTTATTTACCAGGTCGGCGTCATCCCCAGCCAGTACTATGAGGTGCTAGGGAACAAGGACTTCTCCGGATTCAAAACATTGACTGCCGTTGCTGTGACTCTGATCATTGTGAACTCCACGGTAAGACCAGAGGCTCATGTGTCTTGGGAGAAGAAGAGAAAGCTGCCCATGGCTCCTGGCATGATCCTTGGCCACAAAGGATTCACGTCTGCCCGTGCCCTGGATCACTAGTACAAACTGCTAGTTTTTATTTAAGTTTGAAAAAATGTTTGTTCTCACTTATCTCTCCCCATCAATCTTTTTGCCCTTGTTCCAGCTAAAAAGTTTCGACCAGTTTATCTGCAACATGATGTATGTGAACTGGAGGAAATCCCTCACTGAATACCTCCACCGCTGCTACTTCCAAGGCCAGGTCTACTACAACCTGCTCGTGCTGCGTGAGGACATCGATAACCCGTAGGCTGCTGGCAGCTTCTTTCAGTATCTTGCTTGGCTTCTCCTGGGCTGCTGCACACCTTTTCTCTTTGTTTCTGGGTAGGGGCTTGAGCCCTAGAAGAAGCTTTTACTATGTAGGCACAAATCTAGGCACCCTCTTCTACCCTGGTGGGAGGTGTTACCTATTGCTGGGAACTCCTGTGACTGCCAGTTGTGGGCAGGTTTTAGGGGCAGGATGTTTCAGTTGCAAGGAAAGTGGATGCCCATTGGAACAGGGATGTAGTGCTGCTATAAAACCTCTGGTCTGCAAACTCAACCCTTGACACTGTGTGACGTTGCGAAGGGCCTGGCTGCAGTCAGCAGTGCCTCTCCTTCACACAGCTGGTGCTTTAGGACAGTCTCTGTTCTGTTTAAACTTCAAACACCAGGATCTGCAGCTGAGCACAGTGGAGTTGTATTTTAGTGGTTTGATAACCCATGGGAGCCAAATCCAGGAAGGGCTTTGTTTTGCACTGTACGAGGGCTACATTTCCCTTTCCTGTTCCTAGGAAGGAAGTGTCAGTGGTGACTTGAAATATAAGAGGAGGAGCTTTCAGTCTCTCCTTGTGGATCCCAGACCCACCGCCAAGAGGCCCCTCTCCAGTTTGCTTTGTGCACTGTCCTGCTTTCTGCAGAGCTGTTGATCTACCTGGGCTGCACAGCAAAGGTTGAATGCCCTTCCTCAGAGCTGTGTGTGGACCTTGGCCTTCCAGCCTGTCCTCACACACAGGGCACTGCTGTTATAGTTGCAAACTGTGAAGAGCTAAAAATCCTACGTTAGACATCATGTGAGAGGTCACAGAATCACAAAATACTCTTAGTTGGGGTGGACCCACATTGAGTCCAACTCTTGAAGTGAATAGCCCACACAGAGATTGAAGCCATGGCATTATTACTACCATGCTTTAACCAGCTGAGCTAATCTCAGTGTAGAATCTCCCTAATTCTTCCCCCTCCAGAATTTAAAGTTGTTATTATTAAATACTAGCTGAAAAACTAGAAATCAAAGGGGAATTTTTCCCAAATAATGTGTTGTAATACCATTGTTTTGAGACTCCAAGCTCTCCTCTGCTGGCGTGGGCACCTCTGATCTAGTCACTGCATTAATGTCGTTTCCCATGTTGATGGAAAGAGAGAAGAGCATGCCTAGGGTCCTGGGGAAAAATTGCTGTCTTGCAGGGACTCCTAATTCTTGCTAATAGTGGAAACTTCAAGAAACTGAAGCAGCTTCTGCAGTTCTGCTGCCTGTTGCTACTGGCTGCTTGTCCTTGCTCCTTCATTGCAGAGGAGGGTGGTTTGTGTGGCTGCTGCAAGAAAACATGCTGGGTATCTAAGGGGGAGCAGCAAGCTTGGGTCAAACAGCTCTGCATGTTGGGCAGTAGGTCATCATTATCAAGCTGATGCACTTCCAGGCTGCTGTTGGGTTTACTCCCAATATCATTAAATGTTCATTTCTGATAGTATTTTCCGTGGCACGGAGTGACAAGGAGAGGTTAAAAACCCATGTTTGTCATCAGGGCATGCAGCACTTGCTAGGCAGTGCAGCACATTGAAGCCAGAAGCTCCTGCATGCCTTTTTCTTTGGGGACATGAGGGGAGGTGGAGGACAGAGGCCCCTCACCACATGATTATTCTGCTCAGGTTTATTTTTAACTAGGGAACATGTTCACATTGTGCAGTGAAATGTAGGAGACAACTGGGTCAGTCTGCCCTGCAGCAAGAGACTCTCATGGCCTTTGCAGACCAAATGTGTGGGATTACTGTGGAGTACGTCTCATTACACCTTGCTTCTGCTCCAACATTCAGTCTTACTAAACAAGTGTGGTTTTGGTGCCACTGCAAAAGTTCTCTTCATCTTGCAGTTCTTTGATGAGAGTTTTTTCCCTGCACCAGGTACTTAGAGAACAAAGTAGAGCAACAGAGATCTCCCATTATGCAGTGCAAACCAAACTGAGTGTTCATTCCACTTCAAAGGAATGAAGAGTGGGTTCTGAGTGGCATACAAGCACTTGCAGCACCTAGTAGGGCATTTGAATTGATGCTTTCATGTGTTTCATGTGTTTTCATTACATGTTATTTAATAGCTTGTAAAAAGAAATATCCTCCTGTGAGACTATAGCACAATTTAAGTTACAATTTTGTGGGAAATATTACAGTGTGAGGAGAAGGAAAAATGATGCTGCAAGGTCAGTCAGGGTGAGAGCTGCCCCGGAATTAATTCCAGAGCTGCAAAAGTGTTAAAAAATTAATGCCTTTGTGGTAGTATCTGCACTGATACTATCCAGGAGTCCATCCTTGCTCCTCGTTCTGAACTCAAGCATTAAGTTACGACCTTTCCACTGGAGCTTAGCACAGTAGGCTGAAGCCTTCATCCATGTGCTCTGGACAGATGAGGTGCTGAGAAGTAAATATACTGAAATTCTTCCTAGTTATCCCGAGTGCAACTCCTGCTCAGTAGTGGGATAGATGGGACTTGAGGGTTTGTCACCCATGTGCCTGCTGCTGGTGAGGTGAGAAGGCTTGGTGTGCTGCTTCCTGCTCTTGTGGGCTGGGGTGGGTGGAAGCACTTCCTTCTTGGCAGCAAAGGAACCAGAGGCACTCCATGCAGAGCCAAGGGATTGGCTCTTGTGAGAGGGTAGCTTTGATGGAAGTGTTTGCAAATATCCAGTAGCTGGTGAAGGTTTGCCTTGTGCTCTGGCCTGTCCTGGTGGGTCTGATGGCATCTCAGTCCAGTACTGAAGGTTAGGGAGAGAGTCAGTAGTTTTTCATAGTACGGAGGTTGTTCCAGGAGAGGAGTAAAGGACAATGATGCAGAGACCTTCAGCACAAGTTTTGAACAATGTTGTTGAAAGTGGAACAAGGGATAAATACAAGGAACAGGTTGAAACCAAGAGTTGGCAAGAGTTGTTCTTCCTGGGTGCCATGAAGGCCCTTGGGTGGGTCCTGCTGGGCCATGAAAATGGTCTCCTGTGGGGAATCTGCAGATCCTTCCCAGATAAGCTTGTTCACCTGCTGCCTGTCCTGTGTTCATGCACTGAAACAGGCTGGTTTGTGCCCTGTTAGGGATTTAGTACTGGCTCTTGCTTCTGGGCTGTAATGGTGTCAATGGCTCTTTGTGCTGAGCAGGGACCAGCGCATCAGCCAGGACGTGGAGAGGTTCTGCAGGCAGCTCAGCTCCATGGCCAGCAAGCTCGTCATCTCACCCTTCACACTGGCCTACTACACATACCAGTGCTTTCACAGGTAACAATGTATCCTGGCCCTGCTTGCACACCTCTTTTCTGTGTTCTTTTTTTGGACCCAGCCACCCACATTACAACTCCCCAGATGGATATTTGTACACATGGGTGAGTGATCTCTATACTCCAAGGAGAACTCTGCCTTGGGGATGCTGGGATGTGCAATGTTGGCCCCCAAACTTCTGTGAAAGCCAAGAGAGGTGACAGCTGAGGGCTCTGATTGCTTGAGCCTAATGGTGCAGGAGTGTCCTTTTGCTTGGATTATTGGCTGAGTTCTCTTTCTCCTCTGTAGCACAGGCTGGCTGGGCCCGGTGAGCATCTTTGGGTATTTCGTCATTGGGACGATGATTAACAAAGTGTTGATGAGCCCAATTGTGTCTAAACTTGTGCAGCAGGAAAAACTGGAGGGAGATTTCAGGTGAGTCCCAGCAGAGATATGTTTTCACTGCCCCTTGGCAGCTCCTGTGAAAGCTGCTTTTTTGTCCCCATTCAGGGCTGTATATGTAGCTAATTCTCTTGTCTGTGACCTTCCTCACACTCAGAGAAGTCTACCTCTGCAATGGTGCCTCAGAGTCAGTGTACTGAGCCTCTGCCAACAATTCACAGCCTTGTGTCATGGCAGGCAATGCCCTTGGTTCAGTCTCACAGCCCAGTCTTTCCATATCCTCTGTAACTCACCTCCTCCCCCTTGCTTGCAGGGTTGGCTGTGTGTGTAGCAGGGGCTTTGTAGCTTTCCCTGGGGCTCAAGGGATCCAGGGACAGCAGCATAAGCTGTTGTGGCACAGGGAACCCAGCCCAGGGCAGTTGGCTTTGGTGATTTTGTGTGGTGGAGATGCTGGACTAGCAGCAAAGAGTAAGCCCAAGGGCTAAGAAGATGTGCACAGAGAGCAGGATATCAAAAAAATGTACCACTGAGCTGGCTGTGAAAGATGGCACCTCGTGTTAAGCCTTGGTCTCTGGTGCCTTTCTGAGCCTGTTGAGTATTTCTGCCAAGAGATGCCTCAGATCAGTGCTCTAACATGCAAGATAAGTTTCCTCTAGGAATGGTTTTGGCTACATAATTCACTGAGCATTTGTGCACAATTTTTTTTTTTTTTTTGCTTGTACAGGTTCAAGCACATGCAGATTCGTGTCAATGCAGAACCAGCTGCTTTCTACAGGTTAGTAGTGTTAATTTCTTTGTATCCTCATAAGGATTGTCCCAGTTCAGAGCATCCTTGTTCACATATCCCAAAGGAGCCTAAGTTCTGTTGCTGCAGCTTTCTATCCCTTCCATTGCAGCATCATTCAGCTCTGACACTCAGTTCTTTGCATTCTGTGCATCATCTGCAGAAGTAATCCACAGCAGCTGGAGACAACGATCTTTCCTTTGCCTCCCTTCTAACATCCTCAGAGGCAGATACAGATTTGGTGCAGGCTTAGAGACCCTTACTGATGTTTTGCTCGGTCCTTACCCGGAAGATTGCTCAAAGTCTTATTGCATCTGGTTCTGTTGAGGACTCACATGTTGCTTCTGGCCCCATCCTGCTGCTGCTTGCCTGCATGTCTTCTGTGGGTGTGCTAGCTGCTACTTGGCCATCTTACCTCTGCTTTGCTGCTCTTGGTCAGCCTGTGCCCTGACCCTCCACATGCTGTACTGGTCTCTGAATTTGCTGAACACCATTCACCCCAGAGCTGAGCGCACAATCGGGAGCCCAGCAGCACCTCCCCCATTTAGTGATGCCCTGAAACCTGTTGGGGTGGCAGGAGGTTGCTGCTTCCCTCTTGTCACAAGTCTGCCTTTGTATGTTGCAAAATTGCACTTTCAGGAATTGTAGCACATGTCCTCTCTGTGGTCTTCCCTGCTCAGGATCTATATTTGGCTCCTTCGTGCTATATTGAGCGAGCGTTTCAAGTGTTGTGGTGCTGTCCCTACAGTGGTTTGATTCAAAATCACTGATTTCATAACTTATATTGACAGGCATGAAACTCATTTAAATAACCAAAATCAATATTGGTTTGCACTGGCAAGTCTGAGTTATTTCCTTGTACTCTGATTGATTCTTACTGATTGATGATAATTTTTTGTAATGGAAAAGATACTGTAATTACATGCCCTTATTTAAGATGCAATACTTTCCCTCACAATTTTGATTTTTTTTTAAAATTCTATTACTAAGTAGAAAATGGAAAGTGGATTATTGTACCAGAAAACAGAATGTTTTGGTTCAGTACAATGTTTTAGTGGAAAAGCTTCATTTTGTGTGAAACTAGAACTTAGCTGAGTTGCACACAACCAGGCATTTTCATGGTATGCATCATAATTGAAAATGAAGGAATTTTTTAAAAGGTGCATTCCTAGAATGCTGCAAGAGGAGGAGCATATGGTGAGTGGCTGGTTTTGATTGCTCAACTTCTCTAGCTTGTGATCTTGTCCTCTTAAGACTGACTAAACATTGCTTTGGTAAAGGAAGCAACAGAAGCAGAGCACTGCCACCTTTTTACTTCTTTTGTTACTAAGTCCTTGGCAAACTTGCTTTAAAAGTGAAGTGAATGGGAGGAAAAGAGGAAACCAATACAGCAATCTCTCCTCATCTGCAAGAGAATAATAGCTCTGGAACAAAGGTCCCCGGTTCCTTTCTTACCTTTAATTCCTTGTGTCCAGGCCTTTCTCCTTTCCTAATACATGGAAAGCAAAGACTGCAGCTCAGTAGTTACCTGAGATGTGTTATAAGGCAGTAAAGCCAAACTGAATTCTAACGAGGTGCATTTTTGAGAAAGAAAGTATATATTTCTATGAACTGAGAATCTTTAGAAATGAGACCTCAAAAATCTTATTTTGAATGTTTTTGTGCTTCTGGCCTTATCTTCTTGGGCCCTAGTGAGTCCCCTGTTGCATAGATTGTGGTGGGAGCGTGGTTTGTGTAGTGACACAAGCCTCTGTTGGATGTCAGGGGCAATAAGTGCTATGGCAGGTGGGAGACTGAAATGAGATGTGGAGCTCTCTCTGCATTTTGCCACCTGAGGGCAGCCCAGGCCTTGCAGAGCAGCAGAAGGAGCTGTCACGCTTGCTTGAAGAGATTTAGGAGATGTCTCCTTGCTCCTGGCTCAGCCTGGCCACTGGAGCATCACCACTAACCTGTGTGGTGGGTGACCTGATGGAGGTAGCCCTGAGAAGGGGGAAGTTGTGAAGCTGTGGTACCCGTACCGGGGGTTGCACTGTTCAGGACTTGCCTTTGTCCCATTCCTGTGGAGTGGGAAATGGGAAGAGGTAGGCTAAGGCTGCTGGCCATGCAGGCTGGTTATCACCCCTGGACTCTCCTCTACCCTCTCCTTTCTGGATCCAGCTGTGTAGCAGTGCCATCCCTCTCTTCCAACCAGGCTGTATTTGGGAACTGTGTTTGACGTTGGGTGTACATGGCTTCAGCCTGGAGCCTCGCTGACAGTGTGTGGCCTGGCTTTACCTCCTCCTGCTGCAACAGCAGCAGCAGCCATGGGCTCTCAGAGATCTGTAGGACTGCTTGCTTCAGCCAGAGTTCCTTGACAATACCCTTCAGGAAGGCAGTCCTGGCTGTTCAGTTCCTGGTCAATAAAGAGCTTGTTAGTCAGAGGCAAGGATGCCAGGTCCATTCAAAGCTTCATTTTTAAAGCCCATGGTCCTAGGATGTCTGTGGCATTTTGCAATCTTACTTTTACAGGGCTGGGCGAGTGGAGCACATGCGCACAAACCGGAGGCTGCAGAGCCTGCTGAAGACCCAGAGAGAGCTGATAGGCAAAGAGCTGTGGCTGTACAGTGAGTGGGCAGACTGGGGGGTGAAGTGGGATGTGTGGTAACTCCATTCTAGTGGCCGATACGCTGGGAAACTCCACTGGGTAGAGCAGTTGGGTGGGTGCTGTGTTTTCTTCTTCTGCCTCTTGCTGGTGTGTGAAAGCCCTGAGGGTGAACAGAGGGTGTGTCCTGCAGTGCTAAATAGGAATCCTGTTGTGTAAAAGCCTCATAAAGAGGCAAAGTTGTGGAGGGCCCAGAATCTGGCTTTTTGTGGTGCAGGTGTTCACACACCAAGAAAAGAGGGAAGGGCTTGAGCTCTGGGGACTGTATATGTTGTTGGGAGCTATGGAAACTTCTTTCCCATAGAGCCTGTCCCTTAAGCATAGCTGTCCCCTGAAAATATTCCTCTCCCTTTTTCACTGAGTCCAGGTTTTTCTTTAAATGACCACTATAAAGACAGCTCTTCCTGATCTCAGCAGCACAGTGAGCTTCTGAGCAGTGTAATGGAGGGAGAACCCTGAACAGAAGTGTCTGTGGGAATTTGAATCTTAAGTCTTTTTGCCTGTGTGCTCCCAAGACACATTTCATGACAAACTATCTCACCCCAGAGCTTCCTTTTTGCCCTTCCCTTCTGTTTGCTGTGAATCAGTCAGGCCCCTGAAGCATAGCAGCGAGCAGGCAAAGTGGCTTTTGCCCCACAGTAGTCCCTAAGCTGTGTGTCTGGATGATGATTCTCTGCTCAGGGGCCTGCCCCAAAGTGCTCTTTGCTTGGCAAATGCTTTTTCACCCTGGTGCTTTTGCTATCCTGCAAAATGGGTTTTTCTGCTTTGGTTCATTATAAAGGGCTGAGGCAAGAACACAGCTCTTCCTCTGACTGGGCTCAGGGTCAGCACTTGGACCTGGCTGGGACAGAGGTTTCTATTTTAACTCACTGTCTTCTTTCAATGTGCTTGTGCCCAGTTGGGATCAACACCTTTGATTATCTGGGCAGCATCCTGAGCTACGTGGTCATTGCCATTCCCATCTTTTCTGGGGTCTACGGCGACCTGAGTCCAACAGAGCTCAGTGCCCTTGTCAGCAAGGTGAGCTAAGGGTAATCTGCAACCCCATTGTAGAGGGTGAGCAGGCACTGAGGATGGAGGTTTCATGTGGTGCTGGTGGCTCTGGGGCTAGATAACCTGCAGCACTTGATGTTCAGGTTAGACTGTCCCAAGTCACAGTGTTATGGAAACAGGAGCTCGTAGCCAGCTGGTATGTGATTAACCTGGGTGTGAGAACTGTCAAGGACACGTTTACGTAAGTGTTTCCTGGCTCAGACCTTTGTTTCTTAAAAATCCCAGGAGGTCAGAAAGCCTCTGGTTTTCAGCAGTGCAGGTGGAGATGGGGTCTGTGCAGTGCTGTGGGTCTGGGTTGTGCCCTGGGCTACTGCCTGTGGTAAGCCTTGCCACCTCAGGCTGAGCTGGCTTGCATTCACTTTCCTGACCTGACTCATTACAGATACTCAAAACTGGTTTGTCATAGAGAATGCAGAGCTAAAAATAGCTAAGTGGGCACTGCAGGCTGAGACACCCTGCTCTGAGCCATATACGGTGCTGAGGCAGGGGTGGTGGTATGGATCTGTGTGACTTGGGCAAGCATGCTGGGCCCTAGGCAGGCCATCAGGCACTCTGCAGACACCATCCCTGGGTGACAGGACATGTGTCTACCTGGCAAAAACTGCTGCATTGAGTAGGGAAGCCCTGCTTCTTTCAGATGTGGTCATCTTCACTCCCACCATCCTGGGTGACTTCACCACTCCTCATTCATCTTGCTGAGACAGCTGATGTGGCCAAATGTGTGGATTCCTTGGCTGCCTCCTTGCAGTCATGGAATAAGGGTCAGGGCCCCAGCTGAGCACTGACCCTTACTCTGCCATGTGATTTCTCCCCAGAATGCCTTTGTTTCCATCTACCTCATTGGCTGCTTCAGCCAGCTCATAGATCTCTCCAGCACTGTGACTGATGTAGCTGGCTACACACACAGGTGAGCTTATCTGTGGGCACATCTCTGGAGGAAAGGGCAGTGCAGAACAAGACTCTGCCCAGGTCTGTGCTAAAAAAAAAACAAACAAACAAAAAACCAAAAAACAACCAGTTGCTCGTGTGCAAGCATGGGCAAGTTTGGATATTGTGAGGAGGCTGATGAAGTTGTCCCTGGCTTTCATGCAATCTCTTGTGTGTCTAGGATTGGTGAACTGCAGGAGACCTTGCTGAGCCTTGGCAACAAAAAAAATGATAACTACTCAGAAGCCAAAACCAGTTGGGATTTGGACAGGTGAGTTGCCTCTCAGCAACTGGCTGGCTTGCAGCTTACGTGCCAGAGTGTGGGGTTGCCATGGGAGGGAGGTGGCCCTTGGTGTCACAGTCTGTTGCATGCATTTGGTTGGAGCAGGCAGTGCTCACTGTCAATTCTCATTCCCAGGGTGTGTGGGGCAGGGCTACTGTCACAGAGGCACAGGAGGTCTAAGGTGTCTGATTTTTGCCAATCTCAGCACTTACCCCCAGATCTCTTGTTCTTTGTTTTGGTGGTGGCCCAGCAGCCATTCTGGGGAGGACCCAGTGCCAAGGGACACAGCTTTCCTTCTGGAGCGAGTGACACTCTCAGTACCATCCTCTGGCAAGCTGCTCATCAAGGACTTGAGCCTCAACATCTCACAAGGAAACAGTGTGATGATTGTGGGAAACACTGGTACAGGGAAGACATCGCTCCTGAGGGTCCTCGGAGGACTCTGGGAGAGCACACGGGGTGAGGACTGCTACTTGCCTCAGCCTTCTTCTCAACCAAGGCTACCCTGAGTTTTCAAGGTGGCAGTGTGGCAGTTTGTGAGGCCAGTATCACCACGTGATGGTGAATGTGTCACTGATACATTTGAGCCACCCATCTCTTGTCACAGTCTTTGGCTCTCATTGCTTTGCCCTGTGTTGCAAACACGCTTTTGTGGGGACTTGTTGGTTACTTCATGGGACAGGACTACATGGGGCAGTGGGAAGTTCCTGCCTGATACTGCTGATGTGATGAGTGTCTCTGTGCAGGGAGCATCAGGATGCTGACCTGCTTTGGCCCCCGAGGAGTGGTGTTCCTACCACAGAGGCCCTTCTTCACTGATGGAAGCCTGCGTGAGCAGGTGAGCCCAGGGTCTGTCTTTGCTGTGGCCTCCCAGCTGTGGTCATGCCCTGCAAACCCTGCAAGAGGGTGATACCTGTGGCTGCTCCTTCCCTTGTGCCTGAGTTCTTGTTGTTGCATCTCTGATGGACAGTGTCCAGCTCCCTCTGACATGGTTTCTTTTGCTCTGTTAAACAGGTGATCTATCCCCTGAAGGAGATCTATCCACTTTCAGGTTTGTGAAAATTCATTAGAGCAATTAACCAACGCTGTGGTATTGCCTCACGTCCTGTACTCAGTGCAGCTTCTTCCCTGCTGTAACCCATCAGGAACACTCATCCATTTTGCTTTTGTTGTTCTGGTGTTCCCTAGAAGATTTGTGTGTGTTAAGGTCAATTCTGTGTCCCCCGCCTTTTGTGAGGGAGCACACTCAGTTGATAAGAACTTGCTCTCTTAGTATCATGAAGACAAGTTGGCCATGCTCTTCCTGCTGTGCTAGACATGCTATATGTTGCTGTTGGGATACATCTGATTTTTTGGTACAGCCTGACTTTCTGCAAGCCATGTTTGCCTTACTCTTATTTTCCATCCAGGTCCATCTTTTACTTTTCCACTTTTTCAAAATGATGTCCCAGGGCTTTGCACACTGTTGTAGTCAGAATATATGGATCCTTTCTCTCCCCTACCCTCTTCCAAAGCCAGACCACATGTGCTCTGCTGTAGCTTGGGAGTCACAATCTTGCTGAGAGTAACTGCAGCACTCAGCTACTGTTGTGGCTCTCCAGCAGCTTCAGAGAGGTCCATGGCAGATGCACAGCACTTCCTCTCAACTTCCACAGATGCTAACTGTACCAGCTCAAGTGTGTGTTCTGCTCCACAGCTGACTCACCCTGAGGTATTTCTCTTCCACACAGGGTCCTTTTGCTAGCTCCTACCTGACCCCCATTCCCATGACTCCACTACTTGTAGTGTGCAGTCTCAGCTCTAAGACAGCAACTGTTGGGCAGGGTCTTGGCAGTTGAAGCCTGGATCCTTGTATTCTGGCTGTGGCTGTGAACTGAGGCAAATCTCAGGTGTATTTGTGGAGCCCAGCTACCTCCTGGTATGCTGCTCACAGGCATGGTTAACACTTTCAAGGAATGTCTTTGGGGCTATCTCTGCCAAAGCTCAGGGTCTGGTATAACTAAGTGGTCAGGTCAACTACATTGAGCCTCAGGAGGTACTCCACTTCTTCCCTCCTGCCTCACCAACTCCTTCATTCAGCAGTGGCCTTAGCACACACTGCCTCTCCTCATGCTGTATGGCTTTCTCCCTAGGGTCTGCAGATGATGAGAGGATTGTGCGATTCCTGGAGCTGGCTGGGCTGGTGAGTCACTGATAGCACTGCTGCCTTCTTTCCTGGTGCCACCAGTGAGGGAAGGAGAGATGATTTTTTGTGGCAGCACAGCATGATTATGTGCTGAACTTATGCGGGGACATTGTCTGTGCCTGGGACACAACTGTCTGGGACAGAAAGAGGAGGAGAAATGTGGTACAACTTCAGCTCAAGTGGGGAAAAGGAGACTGGTAAAAAGCGTGTGGTAATGCTCAGGGCCATAGGCTGACAGGGTTGGGGACTGTGTTCACAAGTCTGCTGTGCTCTCTGTAGACTGATTTGCTGGCAAGGGCTGGAGGACTGGATGAACAGGTGGACTGGAACTGGTAAGGGAGCTCACTGTCTGTATGTGTTTGGGTGATTTCTGAGTGGGGAACACTTCTAAGCAGATGCACGTTGCTGCTGGATTTATCTGTGCCCATCTGTGTCCTGTGAGATGTGGACACTACACAGGAGCAAAGCCTTCATAGCCCAAGCATCTGTGCCAACAGTCACGAGCTGTGGTGTTCTGCAGACAGCTGACTGTGTACAGGGGTGCAGAGCCAGTTGCAGTATGGAAGGGAGCACAAGGGACACACAGGGACAGTTGTTTGCTGGTCTCCAATATCAGAAGCCATAAGATTTTCAGCAAACAAGCTCTGTTTCTTGAGGAAGGTGTTGAATCTCGACCCTGCTGCAGGTATGACATCCTGTCCCCAGGGGAGATGCAGAGGCTCTCATTTGCACGGCTCTTCTACCTCCAGCCAAAATATGCAGGTGAGTGACTGACTACAAAGAGGGGAGAAAAAAAGACAAGGCCTTTGTTATATAGCAAAGCTGGTACAGAGACAGCTTGTGAAGTCCCTTTTGTGCTAGGAACATGCTTTGTCTTGGCCATTATTTTCACAGCATAGCACACAGAGGATCCATTTGTGAAATGTGAAAACGTTTCATTATTTGTGTGGACGGTGGTAAGTCAAGAGGCTGTACATAAGACATTTTCTTCTTGGGGAACTGGTGATTCATGTTCATGGTCCATGTCCAGTGGCACCAGAAGAACTTTGTCAGCCTGCTCACCAGTTGCTGTGCAAAGAAGTGCATGTGTTGGGGAATATGGCAGCAGCTGTCATATCTGAAGCTCGCAAGCATCTGTACAGTTGTGGGGCAGTATGGAAGGTTTAGCCCTGATGTGGCAAAAGAAGACAAGGAGCAGAAGGAGAAACAGTCCTGAGGGACCACAGAACATCTGTGATTAGCTAATGGGGCCAATTCCTTAGGCTCTGCTGGGGGCTTGAGCTGTTGGAGGACTTGCCATGAGGGTCAGGTTGGATGTGGGTGAGCAGAGCCAGTTTCAGTAGCAGGTAGCTACATGTAAGTACCTCTCTTTCCCCTGAGGCCTGGGGCACAGCTAAGTGATGTCTGGGCAGAAGGAACCTGTGGATTGCAAACTAAAAGCTGTAGAGATGATTTGAATTTATTTGCTCCAGGTATGTAGTATTTACCCTTAATAGTCAGGAAAGTGCCACAGGCCATCCTACATACTCCATGTAGGGTCTGTGCTGGATGAGTACACTGACTGCTGTTTGACCTGGCACTCTGGCACGTGGTCTGCCTGGAGAAGGTCATGTCTTGGCTTTTGCTATGATGGGGATGAGGCGCAGTGGTGGGTAGCTGTTGAGGGAGAGGAATGAAGTGAACAGTGTGGTTTGGATGGATTCAAGTACTTGAAGGGAAAGACAGCTTTCCTAGTTGCCTGTCACCAGCTGTGGCAGAAGAATACCAGAGTTCTTGGGTTTTTCCTCCCTTGCTTTTTGCAGATGGTCTTAGTGAGCTCCAGTTAATATGTGAAATGTTCTTGTGAGTTGCTCTCCTTGCCTACAGGAGATATCTGGTTGGGAGAGGATTTGTGGGGCTTATGGCTTTTTTTTCAGTGTTAGATGAAGCTACCAGCGCCTTGACAGAAGAGGTGGAGCATGAACTGTACCGTATGTGCCTTCAGCTGGGCATGACACTGATCAGTGTGGGACACAGATCCAGCCTGGAAAAGGTGAGACAGGGAGGCAGCGCTTCATGCCTCCCTTGCAGTGGTGAGGTAGAGAGGGTCTCTGGCAAGCAGAGGGGAGTGACTAAGGCTGGAGGACCTCACTGTGGGTGGACTGCGCCCTTGTAGAGACATCCCTCAATGTGCTATTGAATTGCAGTTCCACAGCTGGATTTTGAAACTTCATGGGGAGGGAAGGTGGGAGCTCACTCGATGTGAGAAGATGAAGCGGCTCCCCTCTGAGGAAGAATACTGAAGAATATGCCCTTGTCGGGCCAGCCACAGAACCTGCACATGTATGGAAGAGCTCTCAATAGCAGACATGGAGCTGCCAAGCCAGCAGGTGTGTCAAACAGTGCAAGACCAGTTCTGGATTTTGCTGATGGACACAGAGTGTGTCTGAACTCATGGTGTGGAATTCTGCCAAGAGTAGACACAGCTATGCCACCCTTCTCCCATCCTCCTTCTGCCTCCCTGGCTCTCACAAGAGAAAGGAGCTGAGCTCCTAGGCCGCCCTGAGAGAAGATGCTGCCTCATGGGTCTTGTAGAAACAACAGCCAGAGAACCCTCTACGTTGTCTGGAATACATTGGTGTGAGGCTAGAATGCAGCCTCCTTTTCTGCCCTCTGTGCCTTGCGAGGAGCTCTGTCTTTGATACACAACTCTGCAGAATAGATTTATGTACCTTTTGGCTCTGTTCAGAATTGTGTTTTCCAGCAGGAGACAAGGGGAGAAGAATGCTAGCACATGGCATGTCTCTGCTCTCTTTACAACACACAGCTACAGGTGAAACGAACATTTTTGTATTAAAATGTGGGGCCTGTTTTCAAACTGGTTTTATGGAGAAGAGTCAATATTTGTTAACAGGACTGTTGCATGTTTTCTTTCTGGGCTTTGCTTTGGAGGAGATGCTTGTATATTGGCAATGGTCCTGTACAAGACTATTGCAATAGAGCAGAGGTAAGAGTAGTATCCCTATCCAGGGCTGGACATCTTGCTTGCTGCTACCTCTGCAGCTACTGCAAGGCACGAGGAACCTCAAGGAGGGATTTCTGTCCTCTGCTTTCATGGAACAAAACAACTTATCTCCCCTTACTTTTTTGCCTATGATGAGTCATGTTCTCTCTCTGTCCACATGGGTGTATGGAGACAGGTTTTGAGGGTCTCTTGTGTTGTGGAGAGGTCACTTCAAGACTGCAGTGGAGGTGTGATCTGAGAACTTACTGGGCACCACTTGCTTAGTGGTTTTTCTGGATGTTGCCCTGGTTTTCCTGCAGTGAAGGAGGAGGAGGTGGCTACTGGCAGAGCCAAGCTAGTGCCCCTTCTGCCGCTCCACAAGGTGCTTGTGTCCCTCTATGAGCTGCTGCACAGCCTCATGGTCATCCAGGGTGGTTAGGTCCCCAAGCTCACTGGCCTTGTCCTCCACAATCTTCCGTAGCACCCGACACATTATCTTACCCGAGCGTGTCTTGGGCAGCTGGTGTGTGACCTATGAAGGGGAGGAGCAGAGTCAAGGCTGAGAGAAAGGGCTTGGCCAATCTGCCAGTGTGGGTGTTGGACCAGTTTGCTTGTTACCTGAACATAATCTGGAGCTGCATACTTAGCAATCTTCTTTGAGATGAGCTCCTGTAGCTCAGCAGCAAGAGTCTCTTGTGTGTAGCCACTGTCCTTCTTCTTCAGCACAACAAACACATAGGCTCCTGGCAGAAGGACCACCAGGTTACTGAGCACAGTGCATACCATGCCCCTGAGACCTGCCTGGACCTAGTGCCAGGAGAGCCCCTCTCTGCTGGTAGCCTCAGGGGATTCTCTGTAGCCAAAACTGCGTGCTTTTGGCCACACAGAAGCACTGCTGCTGCCATCTTAGAGCTGGTTGCTGGGCAGGTGCAGGTTGTGATGGATGTGCTGAGATCCCCATTAACATGCTGTGTGGTGTGGACACAGCACTGCTACCAGTCCCACTTCCCAGTGCAGTGCCACAGCCCCAGGAGATGTTTTGGAGCAGGAAATAAAGCATCTTACCTTCTCCCTTGATCTCATGTGGGTAGCCAATGACAGCAGACTCTGCCACTGCCACGTGGTGATTCTGGAAGGGAACAGGGAAGGGGTTTGACTCGGTGTTTTTGGCAGGCTGGCTGCCCCCTGGAGCTGCCCTGACCTGACTTGACAGCTGCAGCCCACAATAATGCAGGTAGTTAAGGAAGGACCTCAGATGGCCTTGCCCTTTTTCCTTCCTGCCTCAGTAGGTCTGCAAGCACTGCTCTTTTCCTCCTGCCCCTGACTGCTTTAGTTTGGATTATTTTACCTCCCACCCACATCTCTTACCACAACATTCTCCACCTCTGCAGTGCCCAGCCGGTGTCCACTGATGCTAATGATGTCATCCAGCCGTCCTGTTAGCTGGTAGTAGCCCTCACTGGTACGATATGCACCATCCCCAGTGAAGAAAAATCCTGCAGTAGCCAGAACCATGCCATAGTCACTTGTTGGGGGGAGCATGTGAGCTGCTCAGCAGCCATACTCTCACATTTCCCATCCTCCTCTCTGCTGGCTTCAGGTCCATTCCTCAACTGCTCAGGGTAAATGTGCCTACCTTCCTTGTTAGTTTTTTGCCTATGTTGGTACCTGCTCTATCATCAGGCTCCTATCATCACTCTGCAGTGCACTGGCTAATGCTGTGCCTGTCTCATCACCGTGTGCTGGGGGCACTTGGCGCCAGTGCAGGTGCCTGTCATCTTGCTGCTTCTTTTTGCATTACATCAAGACAGACACAGACTTGGGCTTGCTCAGTGCTCTGGGTGAGTCACAGAGGCTGACAAGGTTTGCAAGAGATGTAGCAAGAGGTCTGTGCTCAAGGGGACTGGGGGCAGAAGGACAAATCCACTGCCTTAAAACAATGTGTGATCCAGTTGGGAAGGTTGGTGAGGGGCAGTTCTGTGATATCAGACCTGGGGAGATGAAAGGCTTCAGGACTGTGGAGGGTCTCTGGAAGAACAAAGGAGCAGTACCAGCTCTCCTGAATCCTGCCCCATACAGAAAGCCAGCAAGTGGACCCAACCATACCCAACCAAACGTGTGCAAGTGTCTTGCCACATGTTTTCCTTACCTGGATAAGAAGTCAGGTAAGTTTTCAGAAATCTCTTGTGGTCATTGTAAATGGTTCGTGCCATACCGGGCCAGGCTTGTGAGATGCAAAGAGCTCCTGAGACATCATTTTCCAGAAGGACTTTTCCCTGTAAAATAGTTACCTTTTAGTAACCGCGGCTGAAGATACTTGGGATGTTTGGGTACTGTCTGTTTAACAGCACTGTGGTGGAAATGTCAGGGAGGGCAGTGAGGAGGGTCCTGTGTGCCTCACTTCAACAGAACAGGCTTAGTCTCTCCCAGCATATACCTGCAACAAAATGCCTCCCATGGTGGGATGCAAAGCCTCTCCAGGGAGACTGGCTGTCCCTGCCCAGCCCTGTCCTTCCTTGAAAGATGGGCCAGGGAGCCCAAACACAGCTTCTCTTGTCAGGACAGTGCAAGCTGGACAACAACTCAACTTCTGCACTAGCTGGAAGAACATCTTCTCTGTTTGTCCCTTTCCAGTAAGTAAGGTTGCTGTCTAGCAGAGATGAGCAGGAAAGACATGCTTACAGATTTCCACTCCCATCTGCAAGTACACACGGCAAGCACCTGGGGGAACGGGGGCTGAGCCAGTGCCTGGACTGCAGGTTATAAACATACCTTGTCATCCAAGATAGAGGGGCTGATCCCAAAAAAGGGTCTCATAGCCATGCCTGGAAGAATTTCAGCTCCAGGATTAGAAGGACGGGGTGAGATACAGATGCCTCCTGTTTCTGAAGGAAAAGAAACTAATGGTCGTCAAAGTCAGGCACAAAAGGAATGCCAAGTAGTGCTGCTTGGCCAACAGCCTTTGCCCTGTCCCTTATACACACTGCACAGGCTGTGGCTGGCTTTGCCAGAGTGCTGGGGAAGGAACTTTGCAGAAGGATGATTATGCTTATTTAGTTCAGCAGGGATCTGTTGAGATGTACCCTCAAATCCCCATGTTTATCTAGGTTAGCTTTAAAGGCCGTTTTTCTCTTTTATGTTTGGGTGCTCAAGGGCCCTTACAGCCTTGCTCGTACAAGACTGTGAGCAACAACCACTATCACTTGGCCAGAAAAGCAGCAGGTCACTCCTAAAGCCCGGGCGAGCAGAAGCTGGAACAAGGAATCATACACATCTCACCAGTTTGCCACCAAGTGTCCACTACTGGGCATCGTGTCTCGCCGACCACACGGAAGTACCATTCCCATGCCTCCTTGTTGATGGGTTCCCCCACTGCAAGGGGAAAAACAATGGGGCAGAGCAGAAATAGTGCAGTCTCCTGACTCTGGGGTCTCATGTGCTGCTACTCTTGGCATTTGTGTGAAGAGACATAATGTGATGTCCAAGGATTTGCTGGCCCGGCCCATTTTGCTGCACTTACCTGAGCCAAGCAGTTTAAGAGAAGAGCGGTCATACTTCTTCACCCATTCATGGCCGTATCTCAGGAGCAGGCGGATGGCGGTGGGTGCCCCATAGAACTGGTTAATTCTTAACCTCTGTACGGTTTCCCAGTAGCGGCCTGGAATGGAAACAGGGCCGGTAAGCATCCACACAGGTCCTCCCAGCCCAACACCAAGGCAGAGAAAGAAGAGGTGAGAGCAAAGGCTCTCCAGCAGCACCGGGATCCTCAGCCAAGTTAATCATATGGTGGGAAGGATGGAAGCAGTTCAGGAGCAGCAGCCCCTTTTTCTTCACGTAGCTCTGCTACCATTCCTTCTGCAGGGAGGGAGAGGGATTAACACCTCCACCCCTGGAGAAGCAGCAGTGGCTTCCTAAGCAGAGGAAAAGACCTCCCCTTGCAGCCCACGGGCTGCTGCTGAGGCAACAGAGCCTTTGCTGCTCATCTCCTGGCATCAAGCTGCCAGCTCCCTGCCTGCTGTGGATCTCAGGGTGCTGTGGAATGTCCCAGCTCCACTGAGTCACCTCACTCACCAGGGTCAGGATAGACAGGAGTGCTCTCAAAAAGGACAGTGGTACCACCATTGCAGAGAGGGCCATAGACCACATAGGTGTGTCCCGTGATCCAGCCGATGTCTGCCACAGAGCCAAAGATGTCCCCGTCCTGGTAGTCGAACACATACTGAACAAGAAAAGAGAGGCAGTGAGGGGTTCCACCTGGGCCTGCACTCCTGGCAAGGGGCACAACAGGGAGCAGTGTACTCTCTGTCAGCCCTAACTCTACTGTGTTCTTCTGTCTTCCTACCACCCCTGCAGGGACACCTTCTTCCTGCAAAGAGGTTTAAAAAAAAAAAAATCAGAAAAAAAATAAAATTAGTTAAATAAAATTGAAGTTATAAAAACCCCAAAACTGTGAAGCTGCAGGAGACAGACACTTAAAAAAACCCCCACATACAAATTTTCTCTTCCAATGGTGAGACATACAGCCTTTCTTTCCTTTTGCTGGTATCTAGACAAGGCTGATCCCAGTATCCTGAAATACCCAGAACCTTCTGGGTAAGAAAGGTGCCTCTGTACTTACATGACCATGTGGAAGGAGAGGAGTTGTAGGCAAGGACAAAGTGGTGGAGGACTCCATGAGCCTCCTGTAGGCACTGCTGGACTTCAGAAGGACAGTAAACACTCAAAACCCCCTGAGCTCAGCAAGGAGCCCAGCACAGGAGCAGTGAGGCAGCAAGCAGAGGGACCATGTGATGCCTTGGCCCAGAGCAACCCCAGCCTGCTCACAAGAGTTGGACTCTCTCCATCTCAGCTGGGTGAGTGCAGTGCTGTGCCTGCAGGCAGAAAGCAAAACAAGCTCTTCTTCCCACTGCCCCATTTATTCCTCATGAGACCTTTTGGCTGCAAGGCTGGATCATGAAGGAATGATGACTACCCTGTGCAGGGCAGAGCTGAGTGCCGTCATATTGGCAGCAACACAGCCAGCTTCCTAAAGCACTCTTCTTCATTTCATTTACTCAGTGCCAGGAAAGCTTCCTAGGGGCTGCTCTCCCACTAGCCTATCACTTCTTGCTGTTTCTGATTCCTGTGGTTTCAGACCTGACTCATTTCTTCCTGCAGCTCCCGGCTGACTTTCATCTGGAGACTCTGGGGCCTCAAGTGTTCAGAGGTGCCATAATGGAAGCTTCTTTTAGTTCTTCTGTCTCTTTTTAGTGGAGCAGTGAGTTATGGTAGCAGAAGTCTGCCCCACCCTGCTGAGGGATCTAAGTGTCCAGCTCTGTGTCCAGGTTTTCAGTGCTCCTGGGAGCTAACATGGCCACACACTGCTCACCCCCTGCTTTGCCATTCTGGAATGACAGCCCTGGCTCTTGCAAACCTCTGATGGTCTTGAGAGGGTCACCCATCACACGGAGCACAGCTCAGCTCACAGGAAAGCTAAGGGCTTCCACACCTCTGGCACAGACCCCAGGAGGTATGGCCTTCAGCACTCATGGCTAACAGAGAAGACCAGCCAGCCCTGAGCTTGCATTGTCAGAGGGTGTCTGAGGCATTACTAAAACTGCAGTCACACTCAGGAAGAGCCAGATCCAAAGCTAAGGGACTGTTTAGGTAAGAACTCCCTCTTACATGGAACCTCATATTATGTCATAGGAATGCTCCTTTCAACCACTCCTGCAGGCAAAGATGTCTTTGTGCTGAGCTCAGTGCCCTTTTATCCAGTTCTAAGTCTGTTTTGGGCATGTGTTATGGTTAAAGTTTTCCTCTTCCTGAAGATGACCCACACTCCTCAAATATAGACCCTTTGTTGTGAGGGCACTCACCAGCTTTTACAGGTATTGTCAGATGTGCTCCTCCCAGAAGCACTGCCTTTGATGTCCCACCTGAGCTGGGGTAGTTACACTTAGGAAAAGCCAGTTTCTAGGAACCAGTTGGCTTTTTCCTCCTAACCCAGTAATATAAAATTACTCTTGCAAGGCTGAGCATCCTATCCAATGGTTCTGTTTAGTGTAGGACAATGAAAGAAGAAAGCCAAGAAGTAGCTCAGAGCAGTATGTATTTGGGAAACTCTGCTATGGAGCACTACCTGTAACCAGATATGGTCTACTGGTGCTTGGAGGGCTTCCCAGAGGCTTTGCACTGGATAAAGTTGAGCTTGTAATGCAACAAGGAGCATTTGTCTTCCCTGCACTGCCTATGAACTGCTGGCTCATGAGCACTTTGTGGTGAGGATCCATTACCTTGTGTGTGAGAGCAGCAAACAGCAAGTAACCAGCTTGGGAATGAACCAAGCCCTTGGGTTTGCCAGTACTGCCTGAGGTGTAGAGAAAAAACAACATGTCTTCACTGTCCATGACAGCAGGCTCACAGCATGCATCCTCCTTCATCATCTCCTGCAGGAAAGAGCACAGCAGTTCTCTCAGGGTCTCACAGCCTCCCCTGTGTCACCCCCACACCTGCCTGTGCACCTCTCTCCCAAGTCTCCCTCCCCTCTGAGCACTTGTAGGGAGCACCCTGCTCCCTACAAACATCTTTCAGAAGAAATGCATGGCAGCAGCTCACCGTTTAGAAGTTGTGCTCCATGCTGGCAGCCTAGCCACCCTGTGTGCTATGGATAATTGGCACATGCCTGGTCTGCCAGCAGACCCCTGTGTGACAGTGTAGTAGCAGCCCATGTCTCATGTGTTTGTAGGCCCCTGTCCACCCTGCTATGTACTCTGGCTTGCACTGCCTGCCCCTGACAGTACAGGGCTGGTAGTGTGGGAACACGTACCAGTGGCCCATTCTGATGGCTGCTGGGACTGTCCTGAGCTTGTGTGCAGCTCTGACTGCCACTGCTGCTATGGGACAGTGTTCCCAAATTCTGTCAATGCCAGCAAAACTGCTGTGGCCAGGTGAGATCCTCTCCACCCAGTGTCCCTGCACCCAGAGCAAGCACTTTGCCCAGGAGAAGTGGCAAAATCACTGGGCAGCCTCTCACCTCCTCCAGGGGCACATCTAGAGCTGTCATGGGAACCTTGCTGGTGGTCCTCATGGAAACCAGAACCCGTTTCACTCCAGGGCACTGCTTCACAGCCTGGTCCACTGTCTTCTATAGCTCAATAACCTTGCCACCTCTTAGCCCCTGGTTCACTGTAATCACTGTCTCTGACTGGGCTGCAGAAGACAAGAGCCACATAAGCAACTCTGCCCCTCTCTACCAGCCACAGAGCAGTTTCCCTCTACCATGACCTTTCATCTCTCTCTCTGTCTCCGAGCCCTTAGTACTCGTGTCCTTCACTTAACAAAAACAGCAGCTTTGCATCTTGGTTTTCCATTCATTTCTGCCTGTCTTACATCCCCTTACAGGAGACATTGTATCCCAGTCCTTCAGTCCCATGGATGAAAGAGAAAACCTGTTCATCCCATGGCCTGGAATGTATTTAGTGAGCTCATGCCATTTATTGGGTTGCTAGTACCTGCTCCATGACTATGCATTATGTCAGGTTACTCTCAGAGAGCGCAGGGAGTCTCACTCAGAAAACCTTTGCCATCCACACAACCATGAGTCCCCCTGAGCAGCTGAACCAACAAGCTCAGCACTGTCCCCCAAGGGAAATATGTCGCTGTTACCCAGTGCCTCTTACCATCCTGGATCCTGTCAGCGAGAGACTCTGCACTGAAGCCAGCAAACACCACAGCGTGCACGGCCCCGATGCGGGCACAGGCCAGCATGCTAGCCACTGCCACTGGGCACGGGGGCATGTAGATTGTCACCCTGTCACCCTGCTTCACCCCTTGCCGTTTCAAGGTATTTCCCAGGCGGCACGTCAGCTCCGGCAGTTCCCTGCCCAAAGAAGCAATGACACAGTTGGAGGCTTTCTTGCAGCTCTTACCTGCATGCGTAAAGATGGGGGGCCTCAGGGTCACAAGGACACAGCTTATATCCCTACATACCCTAACGCTTCTCACTCTGGAAGACCATGATAGAGCTGTAAAAATCAGTGGGAAGGAAACAAGAGAGTCTCTAACATAGACTGCTATTTATGGAAAAGACATAAATTAGAATGATTTCTGTACAACAGCCACTGGCAATTCCTCTGGCTCAGCAAACCTACAACACCTCAGCTGATTTTCTCCACATTTCTTACTAAGCTGTACAACCAGTGTGACACACTACCCTGCATATCTGGAGGTTACATGTGAGAAGTTAGATTATCTTTCCCCAAAACAGGGTTCCTTGCTTAACTAAAGCTGAGGTCAAGAAAGAACAACAGCTGTAGGAAAGCAGTGAGCAGAAAAGTGTCTCCCCCAGAGAAGTCCCTCCCAGAAACCACAGTGTGGCTGTCAGTGAGTCATTTTATGGAAGGGCTCTCCATGCATGGGGATTGGCAGGAGTGGCTGGTCATATTTGTCGTGTGAGGCCTGAAGTCAGAGAGGACAGAGGGACTTGTTTGGTGTGCAGAGGGATTTAAGTGAATTCTGTGGCAGTGACTCAGAGAGCAGGAAATTTAAGCTGGAAGGTGGGAGGCCCCAGACCAACCTAGCAGGGCTGGACAGGCAGCCACCCCAGAGAGCCAAATCCAGGAGCACTGCTGACATGAGGATGCGTGTGGGATTTCTCAATGCATTTGCAGCTGTGAATTTGCCTTCCTGGTAGACCACTTACCCAGAAGTTTAGATAACAGGAACCTGTGTGGGAAGGCACATGTGTGACTTTCCTGTGTGTCTTACCTACAAGCATTGCAGTGCTGCCCCAAGGGGCTTTCATCTGCCTCCCCAGCTGGGCAGGGATTCCTCAGGGCCCAGGAGATTTAATCAGGGGGTAGGCTGAAGTTTCAGATCAGCAAAAGCAAACCAACAGCTAGCATACTCTGGATCTGTGTGAAGGGATGCTGCATTCCCTCACATGACAGACATCAGCAGATCAGCTCTGTGCAGTGTTCATACATGGTACAATATGCCTCTCATACGTTGAGAGGTAATTACTGACCTGTATGTCACCCGTACCTCCTCTCCAGGTTCATCCTTCTCCCAGATTAAGGCCACTTTGTCTGGGGCTACATGGACGTGACAGTCCAGACAATTCACTGGAAAGGAAACCCCAGTAAAATGGACAGAGCAACCCTCAGTACCTCTTACCTCTCATAAAGCCAGCACTGGCTGTCCCATTTTCAAGTCAAAGTCAGGGCTGTGTGTGAGTCTTAGCATTAGCCTTGGGCAACCTTTGTGGATACCAGCCAGGAGATCACAAGCACCATCCCAAGCTTGTTATGCTCCTCACCAGTCCAAAACCTGCCAATCCCCACTATCAGCTTCCTCCTTAACTGTGACCTCATGCAGTCCAGAGCAGAAAACACCTGAAGTCCCTTTGGCGGTCACATCCCCAGTGCCCTCAGAGTGCTGACAAACATTAACTAAGCCGTCACTCCACCCAGCATTGCCTTGCAGCTGCCTCTGGGGTGAACTAGGGCAGTTTTTAGTGGTGGTGCTCCTAAATAACAAATGAAGGACAAAGTGAAGCTCTGCACTGGAAGGCTGCAGAGTGCATTTGTCCAAGATGGAAAAGAGCCAGGGTAAATACAGTGTGCACAGCTTCTGGCTTTCCAGGGACATTGTAAGCTGAGGCTTTGGCTGCAGTTCTTCCATGTAGTTTCCCACATTGCTGGCAGCTGCAGTTTCCTCAGAAGCCTTGTTCCACTCTTTGTTTTCCTTAAACTTGCTGAAGTTGTGGGATGATGCAGCAGCCCCAGTTTGCATACCAACTTTTTTCTCCTGACCATTTGTAGTTTTCCAGGAGAGAAAGAAATGCATATAAAAGGAGAAAAATTAAGATGTCAAATCCCAAAGGCAAATAACTCCTGCTTTTTTTCCCCAAATAGATTACATAAGATCTGATTTTCTCAGAGGTCTGTCTTGTATTTTGAACACAGGGACCAACAGCACTGTGAACAGGACATGGTGTGGACCTGTGTCCACACAGGGTCCAAGGTCCATCCCGTGTCCTCCTCTGATAGCCCCCCTAAGGCAATAGCCCCAGTCCACAGAAGAGCCTCCCACTACAGTGGTGACAGTATGGCTCATTTCTCCTGTATTTTGCTTTCTACAGATACATCTTGCCTCCTCTGAGCAGGAATGCCCTAGAGCAGCCCTGCCTGCTGAATGCACAGGGTTTCAGTGCTAGAGCCTATGGTCCTGCAGGACAGAGCTACTGCACTGCAGTGGGATCCATGGGGGCTGAGGGAGAGCAGCTCCCAGCACACACCATTGCAGCTGCAACCTCTCCGATGAAACCCAGCTGCTTCCTTAGGGTCAGCCACAACCTTACACTACACCCACTGCAGGACTAGCTGGACCTTTTGGGGATGCCCCTCTCTCCAGACCTTTAACTCTGTGCTCTTCTGATCCATTCCCAGGGCTGAAGTCATGCACACAGAAGCACCTTCAAGCACTTGGTACAATCCCAGGCCCATCTCCTTCCTTACCTGTCACATTCAGCTTGCCCCCCAGGAACCAGGAGACTCTGTCCTGGCACAAGTCACAGTCCTGGACAGAGTGGAAGGGGGTGAGCCGGCTCCTTCCTAGTGCTCCCCAGAAGATGTCACTCTGCTCCACTGACACCTTGTACAAATCTTGGTGGTCCTTGGGTCTGGGGAAGGCTTCAGGCATGTAGGCAGTGAGAGGCCCGTGGCTCCAGGGTCTGGCAGCCACCAGCCCAGAAGGGTATCTGGGAGCCTGAGAAAGCGCTTTGAAGCAGCAGGTCCTGGCCAGCAGCCTGGCCATCACTGCAGGGTATCTGCCTCTCACTGAGAGAAGGATACCTGCAGCCCTCAGCTGCTCAGGACACCTGGTCCAGGCAAGACTCAGGCCTCTGTGGAAGGTGGGCTACGTGGTCCTGGGCTGACTGGACACAAAGCAGATCTCTCACACAGGGAGCCCGGGCACTGCTTCTGCCCTGCCTTGTTCCTCTCTTCCTCTCTTCCAGAGCACTATGGGAAAAAAGAAATCCAATCACTGTAAGGGAGGGAAAAGAGGTGGGCTGTAGAAATATTTGTCTGAAAATAACCCTCATGCTAATCTGAGTCCTGACAGCAGTTCTTGAACAGGAGCCAGGTTAAACGTGTGCCTGTGCTCTCCTCAGGGGCCAAGGTGCCTGGGCCATGCTCCAAGAGCCTGCTCCTTCTTTCCTAGGGCTGCACTGCATCCCCAGAGCCATCTGTTTCATCCCCACTCACCTCCCTCACAGCTCCATCTATTCACCACCATCCCCTCCCTTGCCGCAGCACCCCCACTGCATCCCCCCATCCTCTGCTGGCCACAAAGGCACCTTGGGGCAGGTCCCTGTAAATCTTAGAGCCACCCCCATGCTAGTCATGAGTGATGGCCAGAATTAATGCCCATTTCTGGCAGAGCACTAGGCTGTGGTAGGCCAGGGAAGGTTTTTCTGACATAGCTGTCAGCTGCAGGAGGGGAATATTGCATCCCATCCCACCCACCTTGCTGGCTGGCTGTCAGAGCTGTCCCTCTGGCAGGTGGGACTGGGCTCTCTGCCTCCTCCCAAGCACTAGAGAATGGCTGTACCACCCACCAGCTGGGCTGGGAGCATTCAATGAGGCCATGGTGGAGCAGCTGGGGGTGGTTTGGCATGAAGCACTGCTGCCCATCTCCTCATGCTGAGACCTCCCACCACCCACCATAGCAGAGCTCAGCTGCCTCCCTGCCTCCAAACAGAGGGTTTTTTCTGCCTTCCTTTCCTTCAGGGCCTATATAGTTAGGTTTTTTTTTAAGGTAAAATTTGCAGGATTCCTTAATGTCATTGACCAAATTCCCTTTTTTTCCTAGGAGGCACAAGAGAAGAGCAGAGAAAGGCTCTCCCTGCAAGTAGGGTTGTTCTCAGCCAGGGACACCTAAGGAATCAACAGTAGAGATGACAGGATTAGTAGATCTCCTCTTTGGTCTTCAAAGCACAACAGCCCTCAGAATCTATGGTGGACAGGCTGGACACCAGTGTGGGAGACAGACACTATTTCCCATCAGGTGCACTCATCCCAGTCCACACACCTGTTTTGTGTCAAAGGCATCCCGATCTTGGTGGGAACGTACAAGGACCTTGTCCCTCTGGGGAAACACAGACCTTTGGCCTACAGCCTCTACACAAAGTCAGGCCAAGCAGCCTCATTGTTCCACAGGTCTCTTATTTCCTATGCACCTCACCATTTTTCCTGTCCCTGGAAGACATTAGGTTTTTGCTGCAGACCATTCCCAGACTCTCTCAGCAGGGCGGGTGACTCCTTACCTGGTGTCCTGCTTTAACAAAGTCTGCCTTTCCGTTGGGGAGGAGCCCACTGGCCGCAGGGGCGGTTCCCTGTGGGGCCTGCAGAACCAATCAGCTGGCTAGTCTGAAGAGCCAATCAGCTGGCTAGTCTGAAGAGCCAATCAGCTGGCTAGTTTTGAAGATTGACATCCGGTTAAACCAGTCAAGAAGAGTTGCACACGCCTCTGTGGAAAAGCAGGTTTAAAAACCTGCAAAGCCCGGGAGAAGCTCTCTTGGCTTTCGGCCTTTGAGCGGGAGGCTGGCTGGGCTGGGCCATGCCAGGCTCTGCTTGACGCTGGCCCCTTCCCGGGAAGCCCACCAGACCCCATGCTGGCAGGGTGGCTGGTGCCCCTTCCCGGCAGAGCCTGCTGGTCCTTTTTTGCCAGCGGTGCCACTGGGCCATGCCACTGTTGGCCATCCCAATGCTGGGTACAACGTGAGACCGCGAGCAGAGCTGGGAGTGGCCCCGTAGTCAACACTGGAGGCAGCCCCAAGGTCAGGAGCAGCTGGGGCCAGGAGTGGCCTCCGTCATCCTGGACCAGGAGCGGCCAAATGGCCAGGACTGTGCGGCCAAAATCAGCACAACCGGGACAGCGGCACACAGCCGTGGCTGACTTGGCGTGGCTCACAATGAACTTTGTTTAAGCTGTTTTTTGGCAAGCCATGCTGTGGACAGAAGGACAAAAATGTCTGCAGCAGCTTTTCCTGTTTTCAGTGCTCCACATGAAGGAAAGCACTGAGTAGAGCCAGCGGCCGGCACAGCTCACACGGTGTCGGCGGAGACCACGTGGCCAGCAGCAAGAGGCACGGCGAGCGATCTCTCTGATGCAGAGCCTGGATGAGATCAACATTTCAGCACTGCAGAGCTCTATAAAAACTGTTTCAGTTGATTAAGCCTGAGAACAAATGAGCCTACAAACACTGGTTCTCTCCCGAATCAGGAAAAGGTAAGGGTGAAGACACGTAGAGAAAAAAACATGGGACACTGAGGTCAGTGAAAAAGGAGTCAAATTCTAGACAGGAGGGGATTGAGGAGATGCCTTAGTTTTGGGCTGAAATTCTTTTGTAAGGCTATGGTGAAGATATATTTGATATATCAGACTTTTTTTTTTCCCTGTGAGTCATGGAATGCATTGGATGGAATGTAGCGTTCTAACCACAGCTGTGAGCAGAAGCATCCATTTTGAAACAAGCAGATGTTGCAGCTGCTGTGTTCCAGTGAGAAGCTTGAACAGAGAGATGAGAGAGAGGAACCTTGCCCAGGAATAGAAAAAAGAAAACCTCTGTTCCCAGAGATGGATGAAAAGAACTTTTGCTTTTATACTGGAACAGCTCCTCCTTAAAATAATACCCCATAAGTTGACATGGCCCATGAATGCAGCTGTGGGAAGGCTGCAAGAGATGGGAGGGACTTCACAATTGCGAATTTCTGGGCGGCTGCTGTATGTGGAAATTAAAAACCACAAGAGAACTGTTTCTTGTGGAGAAGTCTCCATGGCATGGCAAGAGAGTCTCCTCTCCCTAAGAGAACTGAAGAAAGACTGTTTTAGAGGTTGCAAACTGACTTAAAATCCCAGGTTTTGTCTCTTTATGTTTTCAGTGGGAGAGAAAAGCGGGTATGGGGGGAGGAGAAGTGTCCTGAAGGTTTATTCTTATTTTCTTTTTATATTTTTCTTTTAATTCTGTTAATAAAGTTTTCTTTATACCCTTTAAAGTTTTGAGCCTGTTTTGCCCTCCTCCTAATACATCTCGCAGCAGGAAATTAGTAAATTCTAGTGGGTGCATTGGTGTTTGGCCAGCACTAAACCCACTACACTGGTGACCCAGAATAGGCTTCCGTTGCTCTCGAATTGGAGCTCACCTAGCTGTAAGTCCCGTGGGTGCCCTTCCCTCTCAGCCAGCTCCCCTGCACCTGGAGTGTGTGGCTGCTGCCCCAGCTCCTCAGGCCAGCGGGGCCCTGCAGCCTGTTCCTGGCAGAGGCTGAGCCTGCCTGGAGGTCTGTCCGACTCTCTTTACACCAGGGCACCTGTGATATGGCATGACCCAAAGCACCAGGGCTGTTCTGGATGCTGAGGTGACTTGTTCTTTCACCAGTTGTATGCCGTGACTTCTGCTCCAAGTACAAGCACATCCCTTTCAGTTTTGTATTTCACTGCAGAGAGTGACCCAAGCCCCATCTCTTCGGTGCCTTGGTGGGGAGGAAAGTGCAGACCTCTGGGCTGCTTTGGATCTCTTACCTCTCTCTGGCTACAACATGACATCCAGCTCCCTCTCAGCTTTGGCTGAACTCGCCCTCCTTGAACATTGGTAACTGGACTCATACACAGGATTCCTGTTTAGTTTTATTCTTCTTCATATCTTTACAGAAAATGGCACATAAATCACAGATGCTGGATGACTAGAAGTTGTTACAGCTCCATATCTCAAACACCTCAATACTGAATTATTTTCTCACTGTATATACATTATTTACACTCCATGGGCTATCATCTAACACATCAAACGATCGGGAAACAAAGACAAACGGGTTGGATGACTGGCTTAACCTTTGATGGAAGAAAAACAGTAGCTCTGGGGAAAGGGTGCTCACAGCTGAAAGCAGGACAGAAAGGGTCACCTGGAAGTCACTGTCCTATGGCTTTCGGAGGGGGAACAGTGCTTTACTGGGATGGGAAGGTGATGGTACCATGGAGTGAGCTTGGCTGTGTGGGTCTGCGTGTGCTCCTATGGGATGTATGTACATGTTACAGGGTGTATCAGGGTGGGTGTGCATGGCTGTCATTCCCTTTAACACTCAGAGGGTGCGCTGGACAAATTTAATTCAATAAATACATTAGGTGGATGTTGTTATCTCACCTGGAATAATGTATTCAATAAATAAATTCACCATTCATCCCCTCTGCAGGGGTGTAGAATTTTGGTGTTTAGGGCAGAGTCAGACCCAGCCCTGCAGGAGCCAGTGAAATGGGCTGGGGTCAGCTCAGGGTGCCAGATGGGACCAGGGTGTCATGCCTGTGGGCTAAACCTGCCTCTCCCTGCCAAAGAGAGGGAAAACATAACTGCTCTTAAGCTGCAGTCCTATCCCAGCAGAGATGGGAGCAGGGAGAGATGGGTGGAAGGTGCAAACCACCCTAGATGGATGGTCATCATTTCATGCAAGCACTGCCATGGGCTTGTCCTGCTGCAGCCTGGGCCACAGGCAGAGGTGATGGCCAGCAGAAGGTGGCGTGTCTGCCTGGGGCACAGTGGGACAGGGCACAAGGGGAAAGGGCCTGACCAGCACTGGGCAGGGATGTGCACCAAGGAGAGAGGCATGGCAGCAGGGAATAGGCTTGCTTCAGGATGGCAAATGGGTTTTGGGGCTGCAGCAGAAGGAGAAAGCTCCAGAGCCAGTCGTGAGGCTGAAGGGACCAGAGCCTTAGTGTCATTGGTGGCAGTGATGATGTGACATTTCCCGGTCCCCCAAAAG